TTTACTCTTAGGACAATTACGAGCTGCACACTTGTAACTTCTGATTGATTTTTTTGTGCAAAGAGCCCACAGTTTGCCAGCCGTTCCTCCTTGATCACTGACAAAGTCAGTGGCTTTGTCTCCTGTTGTTTTCCTCGCGTGCAGAAACGAAAGTGTTTGACTTGGTTTGATCATGAAAATTCCATTATCAACATACTGAAACAATTGACTGAATTTATCGGGCGTGAATCTATAGTTTTTACAAATGTCGTTTGTGTTAACGTTAGGAACGCATTCGAATAGATTGTTGGCAGACATATTGGCTGTAATCGTCAAAAACAAATCTACTATGCTTGCTGCCCATTCAAGCAGTACTTAGTACGTGCAGTGCAAAGATTGGACTATCGTGATCCTAATGTCACGTGCACAGTGGATCATGCATTTAACTCTTTAGCGAATAATTGTCGAAAATTTTTAAAAAACTTGCGAACAAAATAAATAAATGAATCACTGGAAAAAAWCGCGCGCTTTAAAGGTTGTAAATTTAAATTGTAAATGTAAATATGATGTAAGTGTCCAAAATTCTGTAAATTTGTTGTAAATGATTTCCATTAAATTTATAGAATTTTGGACACTTACCGTATCATATTTACATCAAATTTACATACTTTAAAGCGCGCGATTTTTTCCAGTGAGTAAATGAGCTTTCCTATTTTAATGAGATATACATAAATACACAAAAGAGCCAAATGTTTCATTGGTCTTAATTGTAATTCGTAACACTTTTATGTCAAGACTAACATTTCTACGCTTGCTTCTTAATGGAAAAAATATTTCATAGAATATAAAAATTGCGCATTGATTTGGCTTGTTTTGGCTTGTTTTGGCTGGTTTTGGCTGGTTTTGGCTGGTTTTGGCTGGTTTTGGCTTGTTTCATATTTGAAGTATATTATTTAACACGATCTCGAGTGTTTTAAACGGCTTCGAAAACTCCAACAATAATTTCAAACTCAAATCCGTTAAAAGTCTAGGATAAATTGCCGTAAAAAATAAATTTTGAGATAAATGGGTTAAACTGATCATGCGCGAATCCTTTACAAAGCACTCTTGTCATCCAACATTGAATACGCATAAAGTAAATAAATAGAACCGCTCTTGGCAGTTTACTGAAATTGTTTGACATCCTGCATTGGTCAATGATCAGGATTACCGGAGCTTTGTTGGTTTTGGTAATGGGTTTCCTGAGTTCGCTCCAGCAAGCGTGTAGTACACGTGGTTGGCTTTGATATGGGAGTGGTTCGCAACAAAACAGTGACAATTAGAAGAACGGATGGTGTGGTCCCTGATTATTCCTCCTTCTGTGACATGGTGGGAAAAGGTGTTTTTTGTGATCTCAAACTGGTGGCTCAAGTGGTTAAGTAAGGAGATGAGTTTCATGCAAGTTTTAATGATCCTAAGATAGTTTCGAAGGTGGCTAAGAACATTCGGCGTGATACCAAACTTGGGTGTTTCTATGTGGATGCCTCCTACATCAAGGTCTACGATCTTCCATAGGAGGTTCATCTTGCAACGGTTAGAGACGCCTTTTCGGTATATGGTCAGGTGTTTCAAGTGGACAGGGACAAGTTCCATGGACGGACTTTTTTCAACGGTATACTAACTGTGGCAATGTACCTGAAGGATGATGCAGTGATCCCTGGGTCTATGGAAATCGAGGAATGTCCGGTGGGAGTTCTGAATACGAGAAGGGAGGACATGTGAGGAAAGACTGCCCGGAGAGGACGTGCAACCACTGCGGAGAATTGGGACATTTTGCTAGTCGTTGCAACGAAGTTTTTTGCTCGCGATGCAAAGTAAAGGGTCATTGGACAAATCAGTGTAGAGTGGTTTGTGAGAAAGAGAAAGAGAAATAGGAGAAATCAAATAAAGAAAAGAAGGGAAAGGAGACAAAGCAACCGAGTAAAGAAACGAGTAAAGCTTCATACGCTCAAGCGGCCCCTGCGAAGCCCGATTATTCTGGACGAGTGGAATGGAAATGCGGAGTTGTTGCTTTTTTTCTCGCACATGGCAAGAAGATAAGAATAGAGAATGGATGAAAAAGCATAAGGATAGTGAAGAAGAGGAACAGCACTCTGGTGGACAGCTTAAAAGGTTCATCGTGTTTGTGTGTGTCCCAAGGAAGAATCGCTTCGGTGCGTTAGGAAATAGAGCAGATTTCGTATGACTGCGCAAAAAACACGGTACATTCGTGCTGTGTCCGTACCGTGCCGTAGCCGTGATGCATTGGAAAATCCTTACTTTCATTTGAAATCCTAGAAGGCGAGGTTCCGTAACCGTGCCGTGCCGTGTCCATGTTGTGATCCGTGCTTTTGCATAGTCATACGAAATCCGCTCTATGGATCAACAGTATGCGCTATAGCAACAGCACAAGGTGGTCATGGACCATTCGCAAAGGTCATCACCTACTCAACGAAAGTGAACTTTGAACATTTTGCCCATTTGAATTATATATGTTCCTGAGGTATATAGACTTTTAAATATGAAAATTACAAGTTATTCCCTGTTGGTAGCTTGGCTAAATGTCTTTAGAATCAGTCAGCTTGTGTCAATAATCTATGACCTTGTGAAATTGTCTTTGAGTTAGAGGATTTATTTTTACAACATCAAAAAATCAAACCTGAGACCTTTACTAGGACCTTTATATCTGATAAAGGTCACCCTTATTAGTATGTAATGTATACAGAACGAGAGAGCGTGTTGTATTGGGGGATAAAGATCCGAGCCGAAGGCGAGTTCTGTATACGCCTTATCAAACTTTATAATAATTCACATTTTCATGTTTTTGAAAAATTGATCGAATATCTTGCTGCATTTCATCGATTAAAATTACTCCTGAAAATTCGTTATTTTCCTATTGTTTTTTAAAGAATGTGCTTGCCAAACTATAGAAAATTAGAATTGTCAAAGGAATTACAAGATATTAGGCATTCATAGTTAGCAAAAATTAAATCACAGTCGGATTCCATTACTACCTCGAAGACATTTCGAGTACGATGTTCCACAAAGTATTCAACAAAATGAGCCACAACCTTATTTTACGACTGGCAAAAAGACTGTGCGAACAAGAAAGCCATAAATGGAAGCATCAGATTCAGTTTCAAAAACAGCGASTCATTCCAAGATGCTGACACACTAATCTTGAAGACATGAACGCCGAGTCGTTGATTTTTTGGATGGTCAAATTCATACAAGACGAGGCGCAAAGAAAACGGCGAAGCTTATCCGACGAACGAGTAAATTACGCGGAAACGAAACATTGCTTCAGCATGGATATATTTGTGTTTGATTGCGTTTGATTGCGCGCGAGTTTAGACATTTTGAATATTTTTAGGGGAGTTTGGGCCTGATTATTATTCAACGTTTCCCTGATGCAGACCTAATTAATAAAACATTAGTTCTATATTATTGATACAGATGTTTCTTTAATTAGGTCTGTATCAGGAAAACGTTGAATAATAATCAGCCTTCGGCTCGGATCTTTATCACCCGATACAGAACTAATGTTCTATTAATTAGGTCTGTAGGAAAACGTTGAATGATGATCAGCCCCGCACTCCCCTGAAAATATTCAAAGCCGCACCCAACTTTGAGCTTGCTGCTCTAATCACGTGATTAGATTCTCAGTATATCATTGGCTAATGACATTATGAATTATTAATGAGTTTGATAAGTAATGGAAAAGGCTTTAGAAAGGGATGTTTTGCATGTTTGAATAGCCTTCAGACAGTCTGAAAGTCCAATAATATGTCATTGAACAAAATGAATGTTGACACAYTAAATGGATCTACGATATGGCGATGAATAAACTATACAAATGCCCTTATAGAATGAAATGCTCTRATAGTACTGTCCAGAATGATTTTACTCTACACCGATAACCCAGACAACCAGACTTGGTGTATAATGAGGGCAACCTTCACCTATTTGAACATTCGATGGTTTCAACCCAACGCATCGATACGTTGTCTTCAACATGAGACTTTTTGTGCTGGTTTTCTTATGTAGGTTCACTTTGGTCATGAATTTCATTCATATTCCCGGTAAGTGTAAAACAAAATGTTAAATTGATGTTCGACTTAATAGCCGTTTCGCGCAAAAATCAGACAAAATCCAAAATCTAATCTATCTATCTAATCTAAAAATCAAATCAATTTGTATATTTTGTTTAATAAGGTATGATTATTTGGGTAACACTCGCTGTGTAATTGTTTTTTGAAAATTTTTCGCAAGAAAATCGCTAAACAATGTCGTCAGTCTAGTATTTTGCAGTTTGCACTAAAATTMGGAGTGATTAATAAGCAAGAGATAAGCTTTTAAAACACATAAAAACTAGACCCTGTATGCAGGGTTGACACGTACCCTTATTGTATATGGTGCTGTGATCATTAGTAAAATGAGGCCTTAAACCTTAATGATACAAAATTTAAAAAATGRTTTGATCCTTCGAGCCTTGCCAAGATAGATATTATTTTTGCGAAAAGCTTATATATTTAGTGTTGATATAAGCGTGTTGATGTCTGTATTTGGGATCTCCTCGTCATCATAATTCAACATAACCTTGGTCCAAACACCCAGACATTTAGTATAAATGATTGACAGATTTTGGTCGTAAACCTTCATTTTCT